GTTGCGGTGTCCACAATGCATGCTCTCTACTGCAGACTAACCGCAGGCGACAGTGAGTTGCAGTAAGTGGAACGCATCTGACAGGTCTACGAGCATATAGACCAATCTGTCCTAAGCGTCTGTACACGGTCTGCCTTGAAATTGTCGTACCAGTGGCTGAAGAGAGCTGACGAGACAGATCTGAGGCTGTGCTCCGCCTGTTTTCTTTTGGGCAGGTAACTGCCAAACACCGGTCCTCATTCAGCGTTGTAACTCTGCGGACGACCTGTGCTGTAACGTCTACTCACACTTACCATCATCTTGGTAATCGTTTGCCAAAGCCTGGTGATGACACTCTGGGCAATCCCAAGTTCGTCTGATACTTCCAGTTGGGTACGCCCACATTCCAGACGGAAGATAATTCTAATTCTACCACGTAAAAAATCATCCAAATGCGTCCTTTGTGTCATAACTATTCGGTTATTGCACTGAAATGCTTATAAAGAGCCTGCGAACAATTTTACTTCTTTGCCTGTATTCCTAATATATCACTCTCTTACACTCTCGTCATTGTGACGTACCATCGGTGTCATCTGGTTACTTCCTGAAATTTGCATATGATTCTTGAAGATGTGTGTAGTGATTTTACAGGTGATATATTTATTTTAGAGTTCGATTTCTGCGTGACTCCGAATTATCCTTAATTTATGGACATGAGTGTATTTACTTATTTTACTAACGTCTCACAGTCAAGAGCATGCGAATGTCTCCTCAAGCTTGTTAAAAATTACACTTGCTTCTAAAAGTTAAGGACGCAATTGTTAAGTCAACAAAATCTTTAAACCAAAATTTCGATTAACTACAAATTGCACTTGATGGTATCAAACGTGTTCATGAAAGAAAACAAGCACTATATAAAAAAATAATATTTAATTTTCATAAATTATTTGATGACGTCACTTATAGATGATTAACAAAGTAAGATTTAAAGCTAAAAATAAGTAAAGAAAACTTACATTAATAAAGTAGGCGTTTACCCTGAATATTCATATAAACTTTGTAGCAATTGCTTATGCCTTCAATAAGGTGGTCAACTATTGCAAATGCTAGCAGTGGCCATTCCTCAATTAGGGCAGTTTCCAGTTGTCTGGAGGATGTAAACGTGCAAAGACAACACGGTCGAGAACATCCCAAATATTTTCACTGAGATTAAGGTCGGGGGAATACGGAACCCACGCCATACGAGAATTGCCTTCACTCTCCAAATACTCGGTAATGTTGGCTTGATAGGAATAGGCATTATTATCGATAAGGTGAGAATCAGAACCAACTACTGAAGCGTAATCTCACAATGAGGTATAGAACTTTATCGTAATACCTAATAGCTGTCACAATACCCTCTTTAAAGATGTACAGCTGGGCGCAATATCGCATTAAAATTCTAGCCAACAACATGATGCTACAACATATGAATGAGTGACCTGATTCCTTGTGCTTTGTTCTTTTCAAATCCTTATCATCTGAGTCCAGAGCAAATCTGAACTCATCCCTGAACAGGACGTTGGGCCAATCTTTGTAGACTAGTTGAGATGTTAAAGTTTGAAAATGGTATGCAAAAAATACCATCCATTTTATATAGTTGAAGATGTGGAATTTATAATTTGTAATTATTTGATGTAAATTATAACTTGTATAAAGCATGTGGAAGAACGTCCACATGCTTTGCACAAATTATAATTTGCCAAGTCGAAAAACTTTATTAAATTCTTTATTCCTCATCCTTTATAGCGAAATGGAGTTTAAAATAAAAATTTATTTAGCTAGTTCAAGCAGCCATTTGTCAGACTTCTGACCTCGGGGAACAAATATTAATAATGTTAGTTTTTATGCGCTTATGGCACACTTTACAGACGCATGTTCACAGTTGAAGTCATATGTGTTAGAATGCTCACTTTTCGAAGATAGTCACACCGCAAAATTTATTTTCCTCTGTTGCAAAAAAAAAAAAAAAAAAAAAATTGATATACATTTTGAAAGTCGTAGCAATAGTCAATGACAACGAGTCAAATATGAAATTAGCTGAAACTGTTTTAAAATTTCGGCTTCTATCATACATGCATTAAACCTGATTTTGCAACCCGCTGGGTTGTCGATAAAGAAATCTGCTGGCATAGTTAAACGGAAAGTGTTGGATTAAGAAAATTCGTTCAGTTTAAGCAAATTGCCGATATGCCGGAGAATTTAAAGAAAGTTAAATCTTAATTGAAAAAAGACTTACAAACAAAATGGAATTTTACCTATCATAGATTTAAAAAGATTTATTTAAATAAAGAATTGATAATTCCTTTCTTTTCCAAATTAGACAAAAAAAATCATTTAATTTATCCGATCAATGTTGGGATATGATGAAACAGGTAAGATAGGTTTTTTAAAAATTTTCAATGAAGTAATGGAAGAAATGAGAATTTTACTAAGATTAATAGCAAATCAGAAGAAAATTTAGCAGTTCAAGGCATGGGGTTATTACAAGATATAGAGTTATATTTAATGATACACTAAGAGGGTTTTCAGAGTGTTTTGTGGTTATCCCTATTAACGAGTTAGTGACTCAGGCAACACTTCCGTGTCCACGCTTTAATGACGACATCTGGATATCTTATATGTAACAAGATCGAGCGTATAACCAAAGAATTTTGCAAAGAAAGGGATAAAGTATGAAACTGTGATATAACGCACAAAAGAAAAGCAATTTTCTTTAAAGCTATCTATACGTTTTTCACGTTACGTATAGCAGCCACCTTTACAAGGGCGAGTTAGAGGTTTTGGAGGCTAGAGAACTCTCAGATAATGCTACAATAAACCTTTCTAGCAAGTTATATGATTTCAGTGAACTTTATAAGCAAAGAACACAGTATTGCATAGTTTTGTTTTATCATCCCAGGAGTTCACATAGTCTCCTTACTCGCCTCCGCAGCTGAGAGCTTTTCAATTCATTCCAATTCCGTGGAAAAGATTGATGGTCAACAAGTCGACTTTTCATGTCCCAGATTCGAGCGTTGCATTTATATCTAACAGAACATGCTACCTAACTCTTCGACATCCTTATCTTCAATCATTCTGTAATCATTTAAGCTTTGCGGGTATTCTTATTACTGATACGTATAAAAAACAAAAGATTTCGTACTGTAACAATAGCATATAGTATGAAAAAATGTCTCAATATTCTCTACCTGTAGCTTTTGATCAGCTTCCAGTTTTCTGCTATCCTGTGATAATAAATAAATAGAAAATCTAATAAGTCGTACGAGTGAGATATGGCCAAACGCTTTTAAAACCGTCCATGCAGGAATTGAGAAAGCAGTGCTGGAAAATTTCCGGTTCCAAAAAATTCAAAAACATTTTTCGCCAATTACAATGACAAACGCGTAACTTCTTATGCATGTGGTTATGTATGTCGATTGAAAGCTTCTGCAGCTGCAGTCATTCGTTTAACTTCTGTTATAATACTTTTGGCTAAAGTTACTAGATATACTCTTTAAACAACGCATTATTCTCTAATGGAAACTTGAATCGAAAGGAAGCATACAAAATGAGTTAAACAATAATTTTTAATATCAGTAAAACTTAATTAGAGTTTTCCTTATTATTTTAATGATAAAACCATTTTAATTGAATTTTAATCACCTCGCTCTTTCAGTCTTATTGTTAAAATTTTTTATATGTCCATTTCATGCAATAACTTGTGAAGTTTATATAAAAAATGTGAAAACCGAAATGTTTCCCTTAATTTACTATTTCTTTATCCTGGGTATCAATATGCAAAATTCGAGAAATGCTGGATTTACAAGAAAAATTACAGAAACCAGACATTAAGAAATTTTGAATATCCGCAACAAATTTTGTACTATTTAAGTGCTTACTTCATATTATGTTTAATATAGCTTTAATAATTTAAATTTTAATATAAAGCAGGATCAGAAGAAAGCACTCTAATTTGGTTCTTTCAAAAACTATTCAGTTAAGTTAGCTTCAATAACTGATGGAAAGATTAATAAATTAAAAACGATGCAGATAAGCAAAATGGTGATAGTGACTATAATAATGAGTAAATTATAAGGGGTTAGTTTATCAGAGTTTATTTTTTGACCTTTCATCTTTTCTGCATCTTTCCAGATTACCAGCTTATGAAAATGCATGTATCTTTTATTTCATCCAGAGTTTTCCATTTTCTTTTCGAAAGGCGACTATAGATCCTCAGTCTTCCGTTACAGATATGTTAACAAACACGACGTTTTGCTTGTGTAGTTCTTGCGCGGAGATGCATTTCGGCTGAAAAAAAATATCTAATAGATCATTCAAAGTTGGCCATACGACCATAAAACAAAATCTGACTAACAAGGTGTACTAAAGCTGGCACCACAATGGAAGACATGTTCACAGAGTTCTGGAATTTACGTTAAAAGTAGCTAAGATACATAGTGCAATTCTGTATAAGATTTATCAGTCTAGTAAACACAGCCATCAAAAATAAATTGTACGCAATAACTTTTGGTTCTCGCTGTACAGCTAAAAATAACAAACTTTGTGGTTCACAAAAATGTTTCTTGAATGCTATATATTTAAGAAGGCTACCTTCTAGCTCCAGCGTTAGCTTTACTTACGTCAAAACTCTTGCTGACCATTTTAAAATTGCTTTTCCCAAATTTACGCATTCAGTGAATCAAGTGAGACTTCTATGAGATAGTGTTCATTATTGAAGAAGGTATATTTCTCTACAATAGACAGGAAATTGAAACCTACGTTTTATTTTTAATTTAGAAACCTTTTGTTTCTACAACTATGGATATATGAATGTTAATCACATGTTGAATCTTAACATAAACACTGGTTTACTATCTTTCACAAGTATTAAGGAATAGATGTAATGTTTAATACTGAAAATATTAACTAACTTTGCTCATGCAATACTCTAAAATGCATCATCACAAAATTTAAAACCGAAATATTCAATATTCACTTACATCAACGTGAAGCCAGAGGCCATATTTATCACAAATATCAGCACAAGGCTCTATAGGATCGAAAGCTCCAAGAACTGTCGTCCCAGCGGTACAACATACGAAAAATGGTTTGTTACCTTTGGCTTTATCAGCAAGGATGCATTTTTCCAACTCTTCTGGAATCATGCGCCCCCTAATTGAGAAAAAATTAAATTCTTTATGTAAATTTAGAATTCTTTTATATATTCTTAATTTACGAAAAATGACAGTTCTCAGAAGTTATTAAGGAATAATAACCAGAAGTAAATGTGAAACAAAAGTTTGTGTGTTAGGTGATTGTTAGAGAAATTAACAAGCTTCGTTGTCAGCTTTAAAGTAATTTCAGTTTTTCTTTAAGTAACATTACTTTTTAACTACGCAGTAAAGCTTTTCTAAATTATTACAACGCAAAGAGCCATCGCCAGCCCACTGCAGCTATTCCTTATTGCAGCTAATTTTATGTGTATAATATATAAAACAAAGAACTCGTTTTTATTTTGAACTTAATTTGTATTAAACAAAGAACAAATTAAGTTCAAAACGAAATTTTTTCTTATTGTTCAATTGCATTTAAATCTGGGCAAGGGCGCTTTTCATTTCCAGTTCCATCATGTAGAAGTTGGGCTGATAAATACACATATTCATTTAATTTATTTTTTCTGATTTAAAATTAATTCCATATAACCAAACATTTAATGGTTCAGAAACAGGCTTCTTCTTTTTCGTCTCTCGTGACACCAAGCTCCTGACAAAAATGTACCGGGAGATGTAAAATCCGTTAGTTATCATTAGGTTTGCACCTATCTAATGCAGCTGTGATAATTTTGTAAGAATTTTATTCTTGTATAGTGGAGGTTTATCTAGGAACTTTGGAACAATTATCATCTTCTAGTTAATATCTTGCATCTGAAAAACAATTTTTGGGCCATATTATTACTTCAGAATTGAATACATCTAAGTTTACTTTAATAATACTTAAAATACGAAACAAATATTGCTAAAAATATGCAGGCTTTCAAATAGAGACGTCAAAAATAGGAAAATTTCTGGAAGTAAATGCAGCCTGTTAAAGTCTTATTGAATTCAATTTTCTTAACTCTGTCTATTCCATTCCATAGTTCGTAGTTGAATATCGAGAAGCAGATGTACTGAAATGCATTTGGGGATTTCTGAAAATGTGCTCGTCTGAAAAAGTCTTCTGGATTTTAAAAAAGTAACATTTCTATGTATTTTTCTTTGTTTATAGGACTTATTCCAGAAGGAATTGCAATATGAATTAAGCAGGTTCTCTTAATATGAGATTATCAAAGTTTTAAATTAAATTTTCTTAACATTTGCAACTGATTGCAACTCTGTCCGTTCCATTTACAAGCTCGCATCTGAAAACTGTGACCCAAATGTACTGAAATACAATTGGAGATTTCTGAAAATAATCTTCTTCTCAAAAATTCAGTCAATATCGAATATTTTTCTCTCCTTATATGAATTAAATAATTCCTTTTAACAAGAGATCCTCATAATTTTAATTTAATTTCGAATGTTTTTATTCTTTGAAATACTATTAATTATCTACTTTCTAATTGAATGACGCGTATTCACTTTACAGTAGTCATATAAAATAAAAATCAACCAATGGATTTTCCTTTTCAAATTCTACATCACAAGTGTTTTTCCTTTGTTTCTCTTGTACGACGCGCTTGTACTACAGTGGACGCAATTCTGATATATTATTAATTGCACAGCAGTCGATATTACATTCCTTCTCAGTTAAGTTTTCGAATTTAATATGGAACATATAACAGAAGCGTTAACGGTAGTATTTTTGACTACTCGATTTTTCCAGAATGAAAATTTTACCGTACATTTCTGGTAATATCTCGAAATTTATAGAATGTTGTAATATTATGTGCGCGATAAAACTGAGCAGATTTTTTATTATCCGTCATTTTCTATAACCATTTTAGCCCTCTGATATCCTTTTTACTTATGGTTCAAATAAAAATTATTATTTTACCGTAGAAAATCGATTTTCCGTCATTTTCATTCTGTCATTTTCTATCTGCAAATAGAATGAATCGACGAAAAAACAAAAAATAAGTATAAACACATACAAAGGAAATGTACAAATAGTAAAAAAACTGTTATTTAGTATTATATAGTGCCCCAAAATAGAAGTTATTTCTCGAAATATTCATAAATATACTTATCCTTGTTCGACTTTAAATATTATATGTTAAATAAGCATCAACTACTTACGGCAGTGACCTATTTCTTAATTGGAATACATTATGCACTCTAGATCAGGGGTTCTCAATGGGTGGTATGCGTACCACTGGTGGTACGCAAGAGAAAAATAGGTGATAAGCAAAGAAGCAAAGTGTTTTTAATTATTAAATTCAAAAATTAAAACCCCAACATCCTGATTTGAGTTTTTTCCCCTAACAATTCTAAATTTATGTGATCTGAGCTTTGTTCAAGAATGCTGGTGGTTGTTGTACTTTGTAGCTGTGTTACTACAGGTTTTCAATTTTTGTTTATATGGTATCCGTTAGTCAACAGTTTGAGAACACCTGCTCTAGATCATACATTGCGCTGCAATATTTATTAATGAAAAATACTAATAATAAATTAAAACCAAATAAATAAAGCTAACTACTATACAAGTTAGAAATATAAATAAGCATATTTTGAAATGTTGCAGTTATATAACAAACAACATAGCAGTAATTAAAATCTGAATTACGGCTAAATGTACTTATGCCATGTCAGAGGAATTACATATTGATTAATGAATAATTATGTTAGGGAGGATTATTACCAAAAATATTAAATAAAACGGACGCTATGATAATCATCTGGTAATAATACAACTTAATGCGTAAGATTATAGATAATAAATTATTCTTATAAATTAATTACAAAATTTAGCGACGAAAAATAAACCCATGTTTGAACTTAGCAATAAGCTACGAAATGTTTGTGATATACATATTATTCAAGAGACTAGCATACTGGTACATTAGATTAGTTCTATTCGAACTTATATCTCCAATGTAAATCATGCATAACAATACTAAGATATGTATAATAGATTGTAAAGTCAGTGAATATTATTGGAATATAACATTGTAACATAGCATTGCACATATATTATAATAATTTCGTATCGCTATATGTATGTGTACTTGTACTGGTGCCCCAGTGATTTGATATTGCAGAAGTGCATAATTTTTAAACTATGTTTACTTAAGGAAATGTAACACATATTGTACAGTATTATTCCGTTTGTATGAGTATAGCAGTTAACTGCCTTGCACACCTATTTTTAAATGATGTACATTTGTGTTGTTGTAACGTTTTTTTATATGCATCTATTTCGAACGATGGGAAATTTTGAAAACCCTGAAAAATATAGCTCAGTTTGAAACCAAAATAACCTTACATGTATTATCGCCTTCCTATCCCAGACAGCTTAAGCGGAACGTTGAAAACAGTATGCTTTTAGCCGCATTCTTGAATTCATCCCTTTCAATTAACTTTCGTTCTTTCCAACGAAACGTGTCTCCTGATGTATGAAAGAAATTAGAATCATTGGCAGGGTTTAAACAGGCTGATAAGCACCATGCTCCAAGTGGAATAGCTGCTCTGTCGATGGAGCAAAGTAAAGCAAAGTACTGCTTCCTGGCTTTCTTAGGATGTATGGCATCTTATACATTGTGGTCTGATTTAGCAGATACTATGAGCAGGGTGAATCATGTGCCTAAATAAGCAACTAACAAAGAAATAATTAAAGGTGAAAAATATTTCAACCTCATGTTCCATTCACACAAGTTTGTGTTACTGAACCAAAATCTACATAAGTATGCTGGAAATTGATCGTGCCTCAAGGTGTGCCAGAGAGAGACTAGACTTTCGTAGGCTGAGTTTACTTTTGAGAGAAGTTGGCACATAGGAAGCTAGCAATTTCCTGAATACCTGGGACAATTTCTTCAAATCCATTTTTATACCTGGACATTTTTAATCTTTGTTGTTTCAAAATGAGATAATTTCGTATCGTGGTAATACGTTTTCACTAGCACTTTCTTATTTGTAAAAGAAAATACTGAAGTTAATTTTTCAAATTTTATGTAATCTATTTTGGGAGAAAACTCTCAAGAAATAAAAACAAAGAATCTACTGTTTCCAGGATATTCTCTAGTAAAAGCACTAATTTGGAGAGAAATCAAACTAATTTTAGTAAAATGCAGAAAATACTAGTAGTAAGCATAACATAAATTGTTGGAAATATGAAACAATGATTCAGAAATTGAGTTTAACTCAAGACCCAGCAAAGATCATGTAGCCACATAAATTACAGCCTTCTTATTTCTTCAGATCGGTTAAATTTCATTGCTACTGTTCACACATATTGAATATGTCGTGGCGAGAAGGGTGGGAAAAGTTTCTCCTAATTCAATTTACACGGTCCACTTTAAAGAGCGAAATTATTGCTCATTTTTTTATAAAAAGGTCTGCATTAAAAGTATTTTAGCAATATACTTTAATTTATGCTGTTCTTAAACTAATGAAACCAATACTATTAGGTTGTAAAATAAACTTACTGTAAAGTAACATAGATATACTACTGAAAAATGTCAATTACTTCAGTACAGCGCGAAAACCGTCATTAAGCTAAAAATATATTAGTTTTTCTCTTCTTTCTTGAAATAAAATATGTAATTTTTAAGCTTTTTAAAAATGAGTTAGCACTAATGCTAAAAAGCTTTTATTTGAAAAAACATCTTAAATTTTTAATACAACTTTCCTTGAATTTAGATCGTTAATCTAAATAAAACTAATATAAATTTATACTTGAATTTTACCGTAAACTCATATTGAGATACAAGGAATAATCGTACCTACAAATGTTACAGAAATTTTTATCAATTATCAAATATCATTATATCACATTTATGATACTTTTTAAGGCACAAAGAATTAAAGCGGGGATTTAATCATGAATGCTATTATTGGATTAAATATATATAAGTTTTTACTCACCTGTAATCGCAGCGAACCTCGATGACATTGTCAGTATCCAGCCCCATCACCATACCAGCGCCTTTCATTGAGTAATGGCTCTGAAAAAGAAAGAAAACGTAATTGACAGGGAAGCAATTACGTCCCAAACACTGAGCTTTCAAACGAGGCTAATATAGCACGTATTTCCCATTTAGTGTAGCCAGTTTGTAGGACAGATCTTTACTATATCATTTTGTTAGCAGAATAAAATGGTTTCCTTACGTGTTCTGAGGTGTAGATGACAAGTTGTCCTAAGCCCATCAGTCCCTTTTGCTTCTAAGATGGAAACATACTATGTCGAGCACACAAAGCAGCGTACAAATTCGAGATGGATTCCCCTGTAAAATATTTGAGTCAAGTTTGCAATATTTTTAATGATTATGGTATTTATTGACAGATCGTATTCTAAGAAAAGTGATAACCTGGTCCAAGGATGCTATCGCCGTTATGAAATCCGATGATATCTCTCATCTTCTTGAGCGTCACTTGTTCCATTAGAATGAACACAGGAGCTATTTCATACGTGAACCTATGGAGGGAGGAGAAGAATTAAAGCAAGATCTTAAAAGTTACTGCTCCTGATATCAGATTAATATCTTTTACCCACATGTTGGTATTTGCAGTTGCAGTCAGCCATTCTCCAGCCATGGATACAATATCTAATCCACTCGAAAGTTGGTTGAAGAAGTGCGGATGACCTGATGAAAAGAACAGCAAGTATGTTTATCATTTAGAGTATACTATAATAGTGTATAAGTTGAATTAAAACTAGAAAAATATTGTAATGTATGAAAAACTCTTCTGTTTTGATAAATATTGCTCCATTAATAATTTATTGAAAGCACAGAGCTCCTGAAAACATTTTATAACTTGATTATTATTTATGAATGCGTAATTTCTCACTCGTAATGCTAATTTTAATAAGAATAATAAATTTGCTAACATTGTTCCCAAACTTTCGTTTTAGCTATGAAGTTATAATGATAATATTTTTTCTACCCATTCTAACTACTGTTACGAGGAATTTTATGGATCAATTTAATTATTTATGCAATAATTCTACCATGTTGAACTACTGTTTTATCTATACTGCTCAAGAAAAAAATATTTTCAGTTCTATTTTCCATATATTATTTGACTGAAATTAAAACCGAATCATCCTAAAAGCATTTTTCATTGAATAGTTCAATAGGTGTGCATTGAACTAAGTAAATAGTTCTTGAAAGATTTGATTCTTGTAAATATTCATTAATAATACATTTCTAGAGACATTAGGTTAATTTAAAGCAGGAGTGACACAAAATGAGCAATGCCCTCGCCAGGACTCGAACCACGAACCTCTCGAATACGTGCCGAGTTGGCTGACCATTACACCACGGAGGCATGCTATGAAGGCGGGAGAAATACTTTATACATTGGTTTTAATTTCTGTTCAATAAGGACTATATAACGTAATTTTGTTAATCACAGAAGTTTAAGAATAAAACTACTGCGATTATCAAAAAGCAAGATAATAGCAGTTAGTTGGTTAAGTGCTATGTTTTCGTGTGTTATAAAAGTACTGTTTTTGCATCTAATATTATTGCGATGTCGTATTTCTGCATTTCATTTAATTTAATGACAATCCTGTTACCACTGATATGTAAAGATAACATTACGGCAAAGAGAAAACATTTTCGTCTACCATTTCCTCCATGAAAAAATACTACTATTCCTTGGCAAGTAAATTAATGAACACAAAGAACTGGGAACACAAAACTGTATAATTATGGTAACGTAATAAAATGTATTTTATTGCAAATAATGTATAAGCAGTAATAGATTCTGCAGAACTTGTTCATACACTTAATATGAGTATAGTGAAGGTTATTAGCTCAAGTTTTGAGTAGTAAATTTATCAGGAATTTAGTTCGATCACATTTAAAATCTAAACAATGTTTTTGTACTCCTGATATTAAACTATGAAACAAATTTTATAAATTCGGTGAAAATTTCATTAGAATTTTATTAATTTATGATTATTGCTGAAATATTACTCCATATTTTCGATGAAACGCTAATGATTCTGAAACCTTGAACCTTTCGTTTGATTGTACATTACATACGGGGTTTAACCAACCCTTTTTCTTAATAAGCTTTTACGCGAAGGCATGAAGGTAAAAGCATACTTCTCTCTAGTTTTCCCCCGGTTTCGAAAGAGATTAGTAAGCATTATCTGAAATTTTTCTACATCTTTGAACACTTTCAAAATTAAGGATTAGGAGAATCGTTTTGAGGAATAAATGTAAATAAAAAAGTTCTAGTCATTAAAAATTTTGCCCAGTAGCAGTCTTGCGATTATGACCGCTGAACACTGGTATTTCAAATCCCGGCCAATGAAATAGCTGCATGAGTGTTTTCGTGGTTTTCCTCATATGTAACATTAATACAGGCCTTTTAGAAAGTCTTCCACTAAGCCATCCTTCTCTTAAGCAGATAGCCCTAGTGTAATTTGCCTTAATTTAGTAAATGCAACCACTAAGAAATTTATAGGATATGGTAGAAAATGTCAATCTGTTTGACAAAATTTAGAAGAAAGTTTTCTCCTTTCTCAATCTCTTTCTCTAATCTAATTTACTTTTGAATAACTTTAACGCTTATCTACATTTCCAAAATTGTACATTTTAAAGAAAATGTGACCTTGCTGAATTAAAACATATGCTAGTAACAACAGATATAGTAATCCTCTTCTGTTGTTTCCATTTGGACTTTCGTTAAATGATTGCCTATAAATATTTTAATTATTATTTAGGAACTAATACTTCTTTGGCGAAATGAAGCAACTCCAATGATGGAACACAGCAATAACTTTTATTTAACACTCAAAAAATGGCGACATAAAAAAAAGAGAAAACATATTCTCACATTTAAAAATAAATTACATTCTTCGTGCGAGAGTCGCACGATGCACTCGAGTCTGGTTTCAAATATTGCCATTCACAAATACCTTAATGTTCATCTATTTAAATTATTTAAACTACAAGATTTTAATATTATTTAAAGCTGTTACAGAACATGGAATTCGAATATTTCGCAGAATAAAGAGAATTTTTAAAGAACCATATAAGGTATTATGGTATAAAATATATGAGGTGATATGATATAAAATATAATGAGATGATATGATATAAAATGTAATGAGGTATGATGGCATCAAGTAGTTAAATATACGATCAATAAAATGAGTTATACTTATTTTAATGATACTTAATTAATTCGTAAGATTTAATTTAAGCAAAACTGTCTAATTCTTTCAGATGCAAATTAATAACATCAGTAATTAGTTTAATACATGAGAGGAACAAAATTCATTTTTTCGGACTTAATTTGAAGCAGTATTGAAAAAATAATTATTTGAAAAAAATGTTTGTTCACGGAAAAGAAAAAAGAAGAAAACTGTCCATCTCGATCTGGAACGAGCGGGACATGGTTTGCATTTCATCCCCCCCCCCCCGAAAAAAAAAACGAGGCGAGAAAACAATTAGTTTCAGGTGCTCTTTTAATAAGGCGGGTAAGTGCGTCGTTTGCCCCTCTCAGCTTCCTTTGTCCGATCCCCTAACATCCCAAATCCTGCGTAATTCCTTTTAGGGACTTTCTCCTAATACTAATTATGATTTTAGAGATCTGATGTGTTTTGTAATGGCTAAGACAGAAACTGGAAATAAAAGTATGCGAAGTTTCCCTGCCAAACCATAGGGAGGGGGGGGCGTCATTCGATACAAGCGCATTATGCCATCACCACCTTCCTCTCCACTCCTTCCAGCTGTTACATTTCCCCTCTTTCCTTTTAAACCATTTCGAAGTATCTTGCAATTCTATCGATAGTTATCTCCCTCCCTTCGTAAAAAGACCACTGGCATTCAGGTTGACGTCTACTGTCGTAGTCTGGTTTTCAGATATTACGAAATGTTTCATTAACTTAGCTACAAATAGGTTTAAACTAGGACTTATTATGAAACATTGCTTAAACCTTTCAATTCATGTAAGTTAATGCCAGCACAATTGATTAAAGCGATTACATTATGCTTTATTACATCCCGCCAACCTATATACATAGGTAGGAAAGGTAATGTTCTCGATCCAACAATTCGACAGTAAGGTTTCAAGGAATTAGCACGAATTACTGTCCTCACGACATATTTTTACTGTGCTGTTTGTGTGTCTGTATGTGTGGGGTGATTTTTTTTATCCACGATAACAATTGCATCAAACTTCCAAAAAAAATCCATTTTCCGTCTATTTTCTGAGATAACTACATTTAGCTACAGCTGGCCGAAACGTAACCATGCTATGCGAGTGGTAGAACTCTATCTCTCTCTGTGTCTCCCATCCAAAAACCTGAGCTTGAATACTGCAAACTAATTTACATTCTGGTGAAGAATACGGAAAGAACTAATGGTCAAAATCAAATAATAATTAGTTAGGGTAATACAAGAACCTTATGAAGTTTTGAGTAAAAGTAGACATACGAAAATGGTACTTTACCAAAAAGGCCTATTTACACTATTAAGGGGCTTTGAGCCTATGAAACGAGCATGAATTTGACAGCTGCGCCAAAGAGAAAAAACTGTACTCACTGTTTTTCTTCCGCCAACCTATACTCATAGCTAAGGGAAATAATGCTTTCATTCCAAAAACTGGATAGTGAGTTTAAAAGAGAAAAAACTGTACTCACTGTTTTCCTTCCGCCAACCTATACTCATAGCTAAGGGAAATAATGCTTACATTCCAAAAACTGTATAGTGAGTTTTCAATGAATAATCACGAATTAGGGTTCCCACAACACGTGTTTACTATTTTAACAATGATGTTTGTCTCTCGTGTGTCTGTATGTGTGTAACGAGTTTTTCGTCCACGGTAACTCTTATATCCAAAAATTTCTATTTTGCGTGTTTAATCTTTCTAGATTTATATAAAGAGTTGGTTAGATTTGGGGTAAGTAGGACAGCCGGAACTGATTCTTCCCATGAAATCCATAACAGTCTTTAATGGACAATCGGAAGTCCTATTTTACTTGAAGTTATGAATAGACTTTGGGAGAGAAAATGTATTATGAGATAATCGAAAACTTCTCCCATTTTGCATTAAAATAAGATGGAAATGAAAACTACCTATTATATTTATCAACGTTAAATGTATTCTCTGAATTATTCTAAATGCAACGAGAATAAGTTCATTATGAAAGCGAGATCTCGTTATGAAGAAGTTAAATAAGCCTCAATCCTCGATTTTGTTTTCGTTTCAATTTTGTGCCTTTCACTTTTCAAATAAAAAAATGCTGCCCCCAAATGTTATCGTTATGTTCTATTTTTAAAGAAATAATATAGGATATGTAAATAACAAAGCGAATATAACAAAATGTATGGCAACATTTAACACTGTAGTAGGAATTCGAAAGATACACTGATTTTAAAAAATCTGTGATTTTGTTCTTGTATCGTTTAAGGCGTAAACGCGAAGAAAGTTCAACAAATAAAAATGTTGATCATCTGATTAAAGAAACTGAATATTAATATAATAAACTGAGAAATGACTGGAAATGAAATGTATGGCAAAACGTAATACTCTATCGGGAATTCTAAAGATATGTTGGTTTTAAATTTTTTTAGACTGAGTCATAGAACTGCGAATCCGAAACATCATATGACCAGAAGATATA